TTCTCCATACTCATGAACATACAAAGGTCAACCCCTATCACGATAGCACGATATGGGAGACCGCGGAATAAAACCCAGGATTTTGAGGAGCTCTCGTCCATACGGTCCATCGAGCCAAGCCAGAGTTTTAGCCCGAATCTAGGCTCGCCGAGCCCGCCGGAGACCCCGAACTTGTCGCATTGCGTTTCTTGCATCGGGAAATACTTATTGTTGGAGCCTCTCGAGGGAGACCACGTTTTCCGAGCCGTACATCTGCACAGTGGCGAGGAGCTGGTTTGCAAGGTAATACCTCTCCGCCTTGTTCTCCCCCTGTGTTAGCCCGCTGTCGCGTGTGGGTTTCCTGTGTCTTGCAGGAGGGCCAGGCACGGTCGTGTAGCTCAATTATTAAAACAGTTGAGAAACAAAAGGCAGGGAGACAGGATTAAAGGCGCATCCTGTAACTTTTCCCTCTCTCTAGACAATGGCCACGTTAGAGCGGTGGCCCTGAGCCAGTTCTGCCTCTTACCCGGGGGATATTGTTCTGGAAAGAGCCGTCCTTCAAGTAGGTCTTAATGTGAGTTCAGATCAGGAGAAAGCCTCATCTTCCCCACTCTCACTTTTCAAAATGGAGTAGGGAATCCCCAGCTAATTTAAAGGTGTTGGGACCTGCTGGCTTCCTCGATTTTTCCTGTCTCTTGTTCTGTGAGTTGGGGTATAGAAGATGATGGAGAAGCAGGAGGAGATTGCCATCAGCTTTGTCTTAAAAGTGATTTAAAAAAAATCCACATCGAATTAATCAGCCTGAGCTCCCTCACCGTGGAGGTTGTTTGCAAACAGCATCCTCCCCCATTGCACAACTGAGCAAGAATAAAACCTGCACACCTACGTTTTTTAGAAGAGCAGACAAAATAGCTATCCCACTCTTTGTAGCCTGCCTGCTTTTCTCTGCCTCCTCCCAATTTGCTCCTACTATTCAAAGGTGAGCTGTGGGAAAAAGAAACCCACATGCGTGCATGTCTGTGGAGGGATGTTTTTCTCTTTTCGGGCTGAGGGAATATTTTCCTTTGTTCCTAAATTGCGATTCGCATTGTCTGTAGTGAGCCAGACTTATGCCCAGCAAACTAAGGCAGTACCCAGTAGTAGTTTTTATAAGTACGTAGCGAATTGCAACCTTGCAACACACGCTGCAGTGTTTGTATTCTTCCCAAAATAAGGAATTGTGCCATTTGGCTATCTTGGGCAAATTTCTAATGTCAAACTAACTGCAAAATGGAAAAGTAGACGTATTATAGCTTATTTGTATTCCAGGGATTAGTAATAGTATTGCTGACTGTTTCATACTTTCTCGTATTTGATTCATAAGAAGTTACGGACTAGGCTGTAGCAGGGAAGTGAAAATAATTGCTTCTGTTTGCTATCTGTAAAGATTGGAGTTCAGAGGGCAATTTAAATGTGCTTACTGATTGAGTTATAAAATCTGATGTTAAAGTAACCTAGGACTTTGTGGGATTATTTAGGGGAAAAAAGGGCCCGTGACTTTGCAAAGGACTAATATTGCATGCTTGAACTGAATGCTTTGTTACTAAACTGAAACAGAACATGAGAATTTCTAGAATGAAAGCCCTGCTCGGTGCAGTAGTACAGCGCTGCACTCTAGGACATTGGCATCTTTTCATGAAATAAACAGATCCCACAAAGCTGCTGCTCTGCATGAAATTGTAGGTGAACTTGCATAGCAAGTAGTAAAGCGGGGGCTATGCTCTTTGTTTCCTGTTTGGTTTGCAGGATTAAGGCACTGTTTTGATAACAGTATGAACAGCATAACTGCAGCTCACAGAGAGTGGACTTTATTTTTTTTCCTTCCCTTTAAGCTGTATGTTTTTGAGCTGATCCTGACATTTGAATAATAACCTGTTTTTCCGTATGTGCGAGGCACTACTTCTAGCTGTGCTCCAAAAATACGATCTTAGCCTGAATTGCTAGTTTGTGAATACGCAGTTGTCAGTCCCGAACTCATATTAATTTAATGCGTGCTTTAAAATGCCTGCAGTATCATGACTACTATTTGTCAAGTAGCCTTCTGGCTAAGAGACCTGCTGTCTAGTATCTTATTGAGGATGCTCTTAGAGATTGCTTGCAGAAACATTGGTTTGGATAACAGACACATACTGATGATTCTCAAGATTCATTTGGCTGCACCCACTGTACTGTACAGATGCCGTTATTCGCTTCAAGGCTCTGTGGCATCCAAACAATGGTAACTTCTCACTTCCAATTCCCAGCAAGAACTAAATCAAACTGCAGCTTATTGGACATTTGCTGAATTGAGGCCAGGGATCTTAAAAGCTGGGATACAAAGAAGCCCTTTATAAGAAGTATTCTAGATTGTAGCAGTATGATAGCCCTTTCCATCTCCCCCCTTTCAAACATAGTACTGGTACATATCCAGACCTACTTACTTAACGTCGTCTGAGAACCACAAAATGTAACTAATTTATATCAGGATAATCTGGTTAGGAGAGAATTCTGGAAAGGATTTTTTTCACATGAGGGTTTGAGCTACACGAATGTTCCTGCTTAGATTTTATTTTATAGCAGCCGCTTTGTAGAAGAGCCATTCACTTACAATGTAGTAGTTATGAGTTTTGAGAACCAAATGTCAATGAATTCTCCTCTGGAATGAATTACACACCAGGGATTTTAGCAACACCCCCTCCCCACCCCAGTTCTGCGCACCATGTCACCAGAATGCCTCCGTGCTAATCTACCCCCCGTAAAATGTGTTGGATCTGTTTGGCAGTCTGCCTTTAAGGTTGTTTTTGCCTGTGCTGGAATATAGCAGCACAGGTACAGGGTGGGGAGATAGAGGTGTGTGAGGAGGGGGTGTGTCAATTTCTTGGGGTTTGCGTCCTTTTCTGCAGAAGGAGTTTGTTAGGATGACACTCTGAAGCGTTAAATTACTCGGGTTTTGAAGCCTCGGGTAAATTTTGATTGAACCGTATCTCTATCACTCAGTTTTGAAAGCTTTTTAAAGCTTCAAAGAAAGCAGGGAGATTTGCTTCTTGGAGAGGATACAAGTACCCGCTATTGGAATACAAATACTAGAACACAAAAAGAAGAAAAACAATTGCAGTTTAAACCAGTTCGTTAGAGACTTATACCAGAATGACACATGACTACCTTAAATTCTTTTTACCAAAGTAACAAAACACCCAAGAGTAAGTTACATATTAATAGAATTTTTATGCTGGTGGAAGTGCTAATCCCTTGCTTTGTAGTAGCTCTGGAGCAGGTATAATTAAAAATAAAAATCACTCCTGTCAATACTTTGCTCATACTCTCTTTTAGCATGCTGACTTCTGTTATTCTCAATGAAGTCTTCCTTCTTGTAATGTGGGCATTTCTCAATTGACTCAAATACTGATTCATTCATCATCACTAGATTATAGTAACTTTTTATATTTGGGTTTCCCAGCAGCCTTTTTAATTCTTACAGCTCATTCATAAGATCAGTGATAACATACTTACTGGTAAAGGGACACTTTGCTTTTAATGGAGCACTTGATTGAAATGCAGAGAGTTCAGGGTGGTTTTGTCTTTGCCTTTTGAAGGACGTTTGTCTGCACTCCAACAGGCAAGGCTATTTCCCCGGTTGTCCTTCTGATCTTATAAACAGCCATTGTAAAACTGAGACTTTGAAAGTGAAAGTGACTTTGCTGTTTGTCAGAGATGAAAGAAAGGCAGGAAGTAAATATGAATAGCGCTAGGTGATACTTTAAACCTGAAAATCCTTAAAGCTTTAATTGGTTAATAAAATCAGGAGAGAGAGGCATGTGGATCAGGGTGGATTTAGTATGACAGCTTCTCTCTATACAAAGCTGCTGGCCATATTCTCTATGAGTTTATTTGGATGGAAAATAGAAGATAAACACATTTCCTTCTAAGTACTGCTCCTGTATGTCACTGGTCTTCAGAGCTTAATTCAGATTACATTCTAAATTTGATCAGCTATTAGCTAATGAAACTATTCTTGCTACAAGTTTTGAAGACTAGCCTTTCCCGTCAAGGTTATGCATATGTTCTGTGTCGGGTTCTGTAGTCTGTTTTGTCTTGTCCTCAGTGCCATGGGCTTGTGACATCCTGTTTACATCGGTGCAGCTTCAGCAGCAGCATAAATTGTACTTAAGAGATGGTTCTGTTAACGGAATTAGATGTACCATAACTTCACTGTCCTTTGTGTTGCTAACCCTGGCTTTACTGTCATTGTTCCTGCAGGTGTTTGATATTGGCTGCTACCAGGAGTTATTAGCACCATGTTTTTGTCTGCCTGCGCATAAAAATATCAACCAAATTACTGAAATAATTCTTGGGGAGACAAAAGCATATGTGTTCTTTGAAAGGAGCTATGGGGACATGCATTCGTTTGTTCGTACCTGCAAGAAGCTTAAAGAAGAGGAGGCAGCCAAACTCTTCTATCAAATAGCTTCCGCTGTTGCACACTGCCATGATGGTGGACTGGTACTGCGAGATCTCAAGCTGCGAAAGTTTATTTTCAAGGATGAGGAAAGGTAAGAGTCTCCCTTACTTTACAGGTGGTGGTGCCTGAGGTCAGATTCAGAGTTACAGGATGCTGTGCCCTTCACTGTCACCGTACAGTTCCATTGTAGTACACAAGGTGTTACACTTTCTTTATTTTCCTCTGCAACCTGATCATGGGATGGATGTGCCATTTTACCTTCTGGCTTAGGCTTTGGAGTAAAGGAAGTACAGAGTGCCATTTGCACCTGTGCCTGGCCTCTGCATTTCCACCTAGAGGAGCACCCTTGTCCCTAAGGAGATGACATCTCCTGGAGGAAGGCTCTGTATAGATGTCTGTAAGAGCTCCACTGTCATAAATGCTGCTGGCGTTAAGAGAGAAGGAGAATGAAATGGCTCATTCCAGTGAGGAGGTGTGAAGAGGAAGAAGAGCCGAGTGGTTAATGCGGACATAGGTCGGAGGGAAGGGCCACCAGTGCTTTGAAGGACTGCTTTGGGGACAGCTTCTGGCTTCCCATGCTGGGAAGGGTCTGGAGACTGCTTCTGAGAGTATTATGTGGTCACTAATCATACTAAGACTGAAACTGCCTTGTTGTGTGGGTACCTGTTTTTAGTATCAGAGCTATTGTGGTGCTTGGGGAGCTACTCTTTTTTTTTTTTTTTTTTTTTTGGTTGGTGTGTTGTTTTTTTTAATCTCCTCCCGGCACACTCTTGTCTCTCAATAAATGGTTGGTAAATGATTTGGGGAAGGAGTATGGGAAGACAGGGAAGGAAATAACGCTAGATGCTCTGGATAGATAGTTGAAGTGCTATTTCTGATGCTGAGCTATAGTTATACTCTTGTACCTGTGGAAACATCATATCTCTTTCCTTGTGGTTATGAGTTTTCATTATGTTACATCATGTATTCACTTGCAACTTCTACATAAAGCACCGAGTAATGAACACTGTCAGATTAATGTCAGGCTATCACAGAGGGATTAAATTGGAAGATGACCATTACGAAAAAAATGAAACTAAACAGAGCCTGACTTTGTGCTTCTTCGTTTCTTGGTAGAGGATTGGGGGATGTTTTTCCCTTTTAGTTAAATCCTGTAAGTTGTCTGAAAGCTTGTTCAAACTGTTGCAGAGTGAAATGGATGTTCTGGAGAGCTTTGTTAGAAATAACCAGTGCGTTTCAGTTCCATTTGGGGCTGTTTGGGCAAGTTATAAGCAACAGCAGAGACACATAAGTTTTCTACAGGCTCAGTAAGTCCATGGTCTGAGAATTAGAAAAAACTTAATTAATTCAGTCAGGAAAGAGAAGTTCCTGGCCTTAAAATAAAATGACAACCATCTATCCTGTTTAAATATTCTCTACTTAATTTTTATTACAAGCTGAATTTTGCAAAATAAACTTCTCCTTGTAATCTCTTCACAAACGGAAAAATAAAAGGCATATTTTCACTTAATTCAGTTCAGGCAATTCTCTGCAAAGCAAATAGCTATTCCGTATTTTTCTGCCGCAGCCCCAATATATATGATTACACTTTCCTCCTCTTCAAATAAAAGAGCCTAAAATGAAACTAGCTTAACATCCATTCAAAGAGAAATGCAAAGCAGATAGATGTAGACTGCACTTTCACAACTTTTACTCCGAGTTTAATAATTAAACACCATTATAGAACCTTTGATGCAGGTAAGAAGGAAACTTGTACGAAAGAGTTGAGGAAGGGATTGTTTTCTGTTGTAGCTGATAACGTCCTAACGTTAAAATGGATTTTTTTCCTGGGGATGTATGTAAACTTGTGTGGTTTTGTACAAAGGACGGGACTCGGAGAAGCCCTAGGGCTCACCCTAACTTTCCGCTCTAAGCGAAGGCAGCGTGAGCTCAGGGCAGCGCGGTGGGCGCAGACGTGGGCCCCTGCTGAATACTTTTAAACCTCTACCCTGCCGCTTACTAGGAACTGAATGCAACACAAGGCACAGGGCCAAATCCTTTTGCCACCCAAGAAGAGTGGTGCGTACTATAATAGCAGTGTTTGCTTTTATGAATGTTTTTAACGTAACTGCAGTCTGCAAAATCACACAGTTACTCACTTTTGAACAATGTCTTCTAATTATACAATAATTCACTTTAAAGGTCAAATACGACTTGCTGGTTATTTTTAAGATAATCATAATGCGGTTTTCTTTTGGATGTAATGTTGATTTGTAAGTAGAGAGGTATTGTAATCCTTTCTCTGCTGAATAAACAAAGATGAAATAGTGTGAGATAGAAATAGAACCAAACAGCGACTGTCTTTTTTTTCACATGCTCTGATCATCAGACTGTTATCAGTCATCACTTTCAATCTGCTGCTATATTTAGGCTGAAAAATCTTCCTGGTCCTTCTGGGTTCACGGAGGTGTTTGTGTGTTGCTTGTACCACTCCAAGCTTGCCTTTCCCTGAGGCTGCTGGTGCTGGTGAGGATGCTGCGTGCTGAGCAGCCTTGCCGTTCAGAAGCTGCTGTCGGCAGCAGTGCCTGGGAGATGGGTGCTGCACCATCTATTGCTCTTTGATACCGGTAACGAACCAAGGAGGAAGAAAAGGGGTGAAAATGATGTTTTGAGAAATGTGCATGAACTCGGCTGCTGCGTGTCGCCTGTTCTTCAGTGGAGCTCTTTCTCAGTAGTTCTTTTCCTATTTCTTCAAGGCTGTTTTTCTGCAGTTCACCTTTAATACCTACTGCTTTGAAAGTGTCTCTTATTGAAGACTCTCGCAGCTTTTATTTTGGTAGAAGAAAAGATGGGAAATCCAGCAAGCAGGCAACACATGAATGGAAAACTCACTTTTATTTTTTTAGTAAGATACTTGTCTGCTCTTAGCTGAGAGCTGCCAGACTGGAGGAGCCGGAGAGAATGTGAAGGGTATATGAAAGCAGTTCCGTTTGTTTAAAAAAGAAAATCAATTAAAGCGTTTCTTAGTACATACTCCTTCCATTGGTCCTAATGATATCCTGGTAGTTCGATAGGAAATCAGAGCTCCTGGAGTTTTGCAGACTGGTATATACAGCATTGAAACTCTTTCCACCTCATTTCCATTATCTAAATTACAGCTGGAATTTGCAAAGATTTAGGCTCCTGATCTAGCAGCAGTCATGAGTGCTCTTTGCTCCTCCTGATGTCACTGCTCAGAATGCATGTTATTTGGATGTTGCAAACTGCAGTGCCTTGGGATGTCTGTAATGAACTGGGAGGTAAGAAGGTGGAAAAAAGTACTGTTGGAGGCTGGTAGTGCTGAACATTTTGTAGGGGTCCTAATTTTACTAGTGGTGTTCTCTTGATGTGCTAAATGAAAGGTAGACTCTGGTGGCGTGTTACGTCTTACTATGCATATGAGTAAATACATCAGCACTTAAAATGAAATCCAAAATTCCACAGTGTAGAAACAAACAAAAACAATTTGTCTGTGTTTCAAGGTACTTTATCTATAGCTTCTTTTAATCCTGAACTGCAGAAATTTTGAAGATACGGTAAATTGTCTTCCATGAAAATGATGTGTGCTGTTGCCAAACACCTTAGGTCTTTTGTGGTTTTGGTTTTGTTTTTTTTCTTTCCATTTCATTTAAAAGAACATTGGGGGATTGTATTTCTTGGGATATGTCTGTGTGTGTGTCTGTGGTCTTTTAGTGCTGAAATTTCAGAGTTAAGCTCCTTAAACCTTCAGCTGATCTTGATGAAGCCGAACTTCTAAGACATTACAGCATGGCTGGAAATGTTTTGTAAGACTGGGTTAGCAAGCAGCGGCACATCCATTAAAGAAGGGCAGTGACTTTCAGAGCACTGAAAATATGGAAAACAACACTGACTTGCCATGCTGTGTCTCACCAGACTTTTTAAAGTACCTGTAAGATTCTTGAATATTTTAAAAATTGGGTCCTTAAACTTCTAAATAAAACTTGAATCCAGAATAGTAGAGATGAGCTAAGATAAAACATGTGGTTTTGTATGTTTTCTGCTTCCATGCATGTTGGTCACTTTTTCTTGTCCTGGATATTAAGCCAGGTCAATGTTGATGTTGTGGGGCTCTTGCTTTTGATTACTTTTGCTGTGTTCATGTCGTGGTATTTACAATTTCCCTTGTACAGCCTGTTCTCGTCGGAAGCCCTTGAGTAGAGCGACTGTGTCCTTCTCCTAGCTTATGTCCCATAAGGATGTTGCAGGGCTTTTTGGGCTGTGCTAAAAATAGCACTATACACAGTATGTAGCTAATAAAGCAGTTCATCAGTCTGATATATAGCAGATGCTTTGAGAAAGAGCCACCTCAAAGATCTCAGAATTAAATCAAGCATTTCTGTGTTGGTTGTTCCAATGGTTTTCTTAATACAAGAACATTTCTGCTGTCAGGGAATTATTAATGTCTTTAGTGCGTTTTTAAGCCTTTAATTATATTAAAATATTAGCTGTCGTAATATTTGAAGCTTAAAGACCTTGTACATTCATCATACTTGTTGAAAGGAAAATTAAAATAATTTTGGTATTTAGATATTGTAATTTTCCTGTATTCTTTGAGTAAATATGAGAAATGGTAGGCAGGTGGGATTCAATAAAAACAAATAGAATTCGACACTTTTTGCTCTGCACCAGGGGAATACAGCCAGTACAATACACTAATTTAGAAATCCTGTGTTAGCATAATTTATTTATTTGGTGCTCTTAGAATGTTTTTTTTTCTTTTTTCCCTCTAGAATTTCTCAGCTTTGAGTGGACGATGCTTTAAGGTGACCCAGTTATGTTGTTTGCAATCCTAGTGATACAAACCTGATCCCACAAAAAATACAGAATGCATATACTGACCTTTTTCAAAGTAGATCTTTCATTTTCTTACAGTTAGTAGTAAGTTTCCTCCCCAGCATTTGTCAAATTGTAATGCAGTCAGACGCTTTTTCCCCATGGTGTTAGAGCTTGCTGTTTTACTTACGATTCAGTAGAGAACAGGTAAGTTAACACTTTCCCAAGTCCTAGAAAGAAAGCCCTAAAGTGGAAGAAAATTAAACAAAACGGGAGTGCTCTT